ATAGAACTTTTCCCATTATTATTAGAACTTTTGAATGTGCAACACCCTTTGACTTTGGAGTTAAATAGAGCAAAAAAATCTAGTGTTATAATGTTAAAAAGCACGATTTTCTACAGATAATTTTTATAGATATATCATTACAGCTAAAATATATTTGTCTTATCAAGGAGTCATTTTTACATAAACATTTTATATTTAATATGTAAGTTTTTAGTCTACATGCACCTGATGAACCTTTCATAAATAAGCATGCTAGCCCAAGTCTGACAAAGCATTTTGCAAATGAAGTACCATGGGGTTACTGCCACCCTTCCTGTTTTATTTAAATCTGTTTGTACCTAATTAGAAGTTGCGTTTATACACAAATTTTGATTTAAATATCCAATATTGTCTTGTTTTTAATGAACCATACAATAAGGTTCTTTAAAAAATGTGTTATTTGGAAACAGTAAAAATCATTACCGGTGGTAGAAATAAATTTTTAAGAAAATCCAAAATATGCATATTCCAAAACCTGTATTTTGCTGTTGCATATATATGATTGAATGTTGAAGTAATACAATTAAATTTGAATTGAGTTTATTTCATGATATTTTGAAATATTTCTTAAAATGCAATGATCTGTAAAGAAATTTGTCAAAAGCAGACCAAGATACTAATAAGCCTTCAATTCAATAAAGCCACCATTCCACTTCTGCATGTTAAATTTTTAAAAAAATCCTTAAAGTCTGGCAGGTGTGGCTGGTGGTTGAGCATTGACCCTTGAGCCAAGAGTCACCAGTTCAATTCCCCCTCAAGGTACATGCAGGCTCCATCCCCAGGAGGGGGCATTCAGGAGGCAGCTGATTGATATTTCTCTCTCATTAATGTTTCTATATCTCTATTCTTCTCCCTTCCTCTGTTTCTCAAATCAATAAAAACATATTTTAAAAATCCTGGAAAACATTGTTTCATAATTATACTTTTAGAGACATATAATTTTGTTTATTTTATAATACAACTATAAAATATTCCTTCATTTCACTGATAGAGATACCTAATTAAAAAACAAAACAAAACACCTCTTTGGAAGGCTTCCATTCAACCTATCACTAGCAATATTACTTTTCTTCTATAGGATCAATTTTCTAATGTTTAACAAAAATGTATCTGATGTACTTAAAATTATGCAATGTATTATTACATTTTTATTGTGATAGTAAATAGAAAATGAGAAAATCCAATCGTTTCATATTTGCATTAAATCAATTCTCTATGAAATGTATGTCTTGATTGTCAAAAGCTTTTTAAGAAGAAATAATTTAAGTCATTCTTAAACTTAAGGGTAAATATTATTCTTTTAAAATATGGGCACGAAAGCTATTCATTAAAAAATTGTTACTGATTTTTAGAAATAAAGGAAGAGGGAGAGAGAGAAACATCAATATGAGGATGAAGCATTGATCTGTTGCCTCCTGCATGCCCCCTACCAGGAATCAAGCCCATCACCTGGACATGTACCCTGACCAGGAATCCAACTGGCAACCTTTTGGTTCATGGGAGGACACTCAACCAACTGAGCCACACTGGCCAGGGCCAATAGCTATTCATTTTATAGTACTGGTACAATTACCATGAAAAATATTTGACCTGTGTTTGTAAGTCAAATGGTCTGCTATAAATAGAGGAAGAATATCGTATTATATTATTGTCACAGTCAAATACACTGCATAACATTATTTTCTTTATCCCAACCTTACCCATAGAAAGTAACTTAATTGTAAAAAATTAAATACAGCCCTGGCTGGTTGCTCAGTGGTTAGAGTATGGGCCTGTGGACCAAAGGTTTGCAGGTTCAATTCCCAGTCAAGGGCACATACCTTGGTTGCAGGTTCCCTAGCCCCAGTACTGGCATGGGCAGGAGACAACCAATCAATGTGTCTCTCTCAGATAGATCTTTCTCTCTCTCTTCCCCCCTCCTTTCTCCCTTCTACTCTCTCTAAAACTCAGTGAAAAACATATTCTCCCCTCCAGTGAGAATATATATATATATATATATGTATATATATGTGTACATATATATATTTAATATATGTATATATATAACACTAGGTGAAAACTAAGTATGAAATGTTCTCTTTGATAATTTGTATATTATGTATGCCACATACATGCAACATATAATGAGGGAAATATAATATTTTTAGAAAGGTATTAAATTAAATTAATGATAAAATGCACAGTTGCCAAATGTAATATTAATTACATAAGGTTCCTGTAAATATAGAATGGTAATTATTTTTATGCACATGACTAATGGCAATCCAACTACTTTGATTTTATTGTCATATATTTGTATTTGAAAAAATGTAGAGAACTTAAAAGGTTTTGAGGAACATTATCCATAAGTTAAATAGTTAATTTAACAATAGTTTAATTACCACTTTCACAACATTTTATTCCTTAAATGTTCTTTTGTTCTAGCATTTAAATTGGTTCTTTTATTATTTTTAGTTCTTTCTCAGTATAAAATTTATTCTTAAAATTATACCAAATATTTTGCCACCCCTGAAAATATTTTAATTTGGAGGCACCTGAAAAGTACAAATGGATAGTTCCAAAAAAAATTAGAAACCTATTTGTGGTCTGCTTTATTTTCCTTAAATTGGAGTTGTGTGACTTTGGAAACAATCTATTGAGCTCTTGAACTTAAGTAGCCAGTTTTTGGCATTTCAAACAAGGACTGAACTATTCTCACTCTTTCCCTTGACCTACTGAAAAATAATGAAGAGAGAGCATAAGAAGAGGGAAGGAGGAAGGAAAGGGGGAGATCTTAAAAAAAAAAAAAGGAAGAAAGAAAAGAGGAAGTAAAAATGTTAGATTATGGAAATAAAATTACATATATTTAATGTGAATAATTTGTTAACAACATAACTTAGTAACAAGACTAGAAATAAAGATGTAGGGCAAGAAACTGGTATATTAGATTAAGGTCTTAAAGTCTAACTTTTTCTGTATTATGTGTGTATGCTTTCATTATCCAATAGTTTAATTTTCCTAATTGCTATTGAGGAAACAGTAGTGGGACTGACTTGGATATCCAGGACATTCACCAAAATTTTCCACCTCACATAGTTAAAGGTGATACTCTTCCTAAAAAAAAGATGTGTTCCAAGTATGATATTTATGCTAAAGTTGATTAACTCATAACTTCAATCAAGTTTGGCTATAAATGATTTTGACTATTAGCATACAAATTATCCACATTTACATAGAATACATTTATTTTCTCTGAAATAATTTAAGTATTTACACTATAATCATTCATAGATAAAAATAAGATTTTATGATATCTACCTAGAAATATATCTGTATGAGATTACACAACATATAAAATAGAACAAGCACAAAAAATAAGCTTAGTTTGCATCCAAATTTTAATTGATGCCTAAAACATTACATATGTTGTTCTCCCAAATTCTATGAAGTCAGTGTATGTAGGGACCATTACTCCAATCATATACGACTGATATGCCCAATTTGTTCAGTGAACATTCTCAAAAAACAAAAATCAAATATTCAAAACCACACAACTTATGTTCTATTGTTTATGTTACTGTATTGACAGGAAATCATGTAAAGAAGAAAAATAATTAATTTTTAATTTTATCCTAGTTTCATGATTGTACATTTTTAAAAAAATTCAAGTATATTAGGGAAATTATGTTTACTTTATCTTCTTAATACATTTGGTAAATATAATAAATCATATAATTATTTTTGAGATTTAAAATAATGTTGGGCACCTTATGAGCAATAGAGGTATAAATAAACTAGCTAAAAAGAGGGTATGTGACAAGGTTATACACTATAGTGCTAGTTTGAAATATTATTTTGTAAATCTTTGAAATGCATCACAGAATTTTTTTGGAAGTTACATCTTTAATTTCATGTAATTCTTATTTCCTATTTTATGCATTAATTGAGAAAAAAACACCTAGTTACATGGAGGTTTCCACTTTGCATTTTATAATTTATACAACCCCTCCATATCTACATATAATATTGAGGAAGTGATTTTAACATTTTTAACAGAAAAATAACTCCCATAATGAAGATAAATTAATTACAGCCCCAACTGTGAAAGCAAATGCAGCTGCTTATTTTTCTTTTTTAATCCTGAATTTAATATGGAGGAGGTAGATGAAAAGTAAGATACATTTTTAATATTTCGTGATATCACATGGCATCATTAATCTTGTTACTTTCCCTTTGAAAAGAATTTGGAAGGGAAAATGTTGCACAGAATGGGAATAGTTTACTTCACTTGCTATATGTATATCCTCAGGAAAACTATTATCACCTGTTCAACCTGAATTCAAGCAGTTACTGTCAATTTACTCATGGGTGAATGCTGCCTCTTTGTGGCAGAATGCCATGGAAAGTGTTCTTTAAATATAAAGTTCATGAACAGTCCTTGATGTTGTACACATTTCAGGTGAGATTATGGGAAGACCCACCAATAGCAATGAAACACAAAGCTCTTTAGGTTTCAGGTTAATTCAAACATTTACTACCCTTAAATATGGATCTCAGTTCACTGGCAAACCTTACTCAGAGGTGGACGGCTTATCCCTGCCAACAGTATGAACATTTAGGACATGGATAAACTTGAGATAAAGTATCCTTCATAATTGTTGAAGGTAATTTTATGCAGGTAAAATTATGAAACTATGGAAACCTGTAGACTAAATACGTAATATTGACATGACAAAAACACACAATATTGGAAGAAAAATGAATATGCAATATATTACTTACCATGCTCCATGTATTAGATGAATACTTCAATAAGGAAAAGAAGTATACAGTTAAAATTTCATTAATAAACACATTAAATGACACACTTAGAAAAACATAATTCTGTGAACCACCATAGGTGTAATAACATCTATATATTTTTAAATTTGATAGTTTTTTTGTCCTAAATTGTTAATAATGGAGATTCAGTCACTCACACAGCTAGTTCTTTTGCACTTTAAGTAATCATTACTTCAATTCCTCATATTTGACATAGTTATCAAGTGTTTATTCAGAAACTATTTAAAAAATTACATGTGCTGGGATACATATAAGACTGTAACAACAATAGCCCCATCTTACAGAGATCCTGTTTGTGGTTATCATCATTGCTTGCTGCCCAGAGGGATAAAGACATTGTATAGGGATTTGTACAGTCCATCATTTGGTCTTCTGAGGTGCTAGAACACGTGGATCTGTACAAATGCAACGGTGTTTGGTTAAACAATCAAAAATCGGCTACAATAGTAGTCAAATCAATACATCATTTTGGTTGACTGATAAAAAATACTTTGAAATCTTCTCTAATAAAACCCAAAACTTGCACCTGATTCTCACCCAAATGGCCCAATTAATTGCCCTAATATTTTAATATATATTGGGGTACAATCAGTTTTTTTTTCAAATTACAGATCCAATTGGGTGGGTTGCACTGGCTTTAAAATTTTGTCATTAAGTTCTCCATATTTTGAGTGGTTTAAAATGCCTTCCTGATATCACTTCAAAATTTGGAAATGCAGCTTCTAACATAGTGCGACACCTCTGTGGAAATCATAGGCTAAATAGTGAAGGAAAGAGAAATGCTAAATGTGCATATAAAAATAGGTGCTACAATAAAATATTTGTATATTTCATCAATAAGTTATTTTGACTAATCAATTATGGATCATATAGCTCTGTAATTTTAATGATTTGTCCACATCTATGGTGATCCTTTCGAGATCACAACACTTTTGTTTTTAATTCAAATGTCCAGAATGCATACAAACACATCCTTTTAAAAGAAAGAAAAGGAATGAGAGAGGAGGGAGCAAGGAAGCAGAGAGAGGGAGGGGGAGGAGAAAGAGGAAAAGAAGAGAATGAACTTTCTATTAAAGTTGGGGTGTGCTAATCTCTCCACAAAAGCCATATAGACCCACCCGCGGCTTAAAGGGGAAGAAGGGGAGGGGAGAAGGGAGCAAAAGAGAAAGAGTAGAATCTATGCGCTGTCATCTTCCACCATTCTTAGCACTTCCAACCACTAGAAAAATGACTGCTATCTTTCAAAAGTCACCCGTGCATCAACTTGCCTTCCAAAAACCCCTACTCCTCTCCTCCCCGACACGCCAGAGAAAGGGATGTGCCCTGTTTACACAAACGCTTCCCCACGTGTAAAATTAAAAGGAAATTGCACACCCTTTCAGTATCTTCCGCCGAAGCTAAGAATCTCGTGCCAAGGCACTTCACTCTAAACGTTGAAACAACATAATTAATCAAATATGTTCACCGTGTGTATCGGCTTGCTTGTTTGTTTTAAACGCAAAAGCTCCAAGGGAGTTTCTTTGCTTTTAGAACTGGCTAAATGTGGTTTGTTTTTCCAGCACTTCGAGGTAGTCCGGCTCAACGTTTAGTTTTGCTTTTAACTCCAGATACTCGTTCCGGTTGGGTTCTACAAAGACAGCACTGGGGGGGCTGTAGAGCACCGGTTCCCGCAGCCGGCTGTCCCCGGCCCCCGGGTGCAAATACTGGTGGGGGCGTCTCAGGTCATAGTTGGGGGAGAAAGTGTAGGCAGCGGGGCTGCACGGGAATTTGGGATATTCCGGGAGGCTGCTGCCGGCGGGGGCGGTGGAGCAGTGCTTGTCTGGTTCTAAAATGCCCCGGTAAAAGCGGTCGGCGTCCTGCACCGGGGACAACAGGTCCTCCCGGGGCTCGATGGTGCTGACGCTGTAGGCCGGGCTCCGCAAGTGGTGGCTTTCCCGCCTCTCCTCCTCCGCCGGCTGCAGCTGCAGCTGCGGCGGGGGCTGCGGCTGGGGCGGCGGCGGAGGCGGCGGCGGCTGCTGCTGCTGCTGCTGCTGCTGCAGGTGGTGGTTGCCGCTGTAGGTGACCTTGAGCTCGTGCAGGTCTTTGTAATCCTCCACGGAGTTGCCCTCTCGGGAGCGGTAGATGGGGTTTTTGCACATGTGGCCCAGGGGATGGGGGATGTACTCGTACACGTGGCCCGCGGGCGTCTTCACCTTGGGCAGCGAGGGCCCGCGGTGGTGCACGTGCGCGTGGGGGTGGCCGCCGGCCCCTCCGCTGCCGCCGTACACGCTGTACTGCATGTTGAAGGAGCTCACGTCGGAATTGTTGGTGCTGGTGTGGTCGCTCTGGTTCTTCTTCCTGCGCTTCATCACCAGCACAAAGAGCCCCGCGGCCACGAAGACAGACATGATGAAAACCAGCAGCAGGCTGAGGATCAGCACGGACAAGGGCACGGAGGACGCGCCTCCGCCCGCGCCCAAGCCCGCGGGACCCCCGGTGCTGTTCAGCCGCACGGTGGGGGTCACCGCGCTGGTTCTGGAGGGGACCTGGATGGAGGAGGGCGTGGGCGTGGAAACCACCACGTCCGAGTAGTCTGGGCACAGCAGCTCCGACTTAATGGAGCGCATGTCCGTCTCAGCGAAGTTCTTGGGCGCCTTGCAGATGACTTCGTCCACCAAGACGCCCACTTTGAGCTGCTCGACCCACAGCTTCATGCCCACCACGTCGCAGGTGCAATCCCAAGGGTTGTCGTGGAGGTCGATTTGGATGAGTGACTTCAGCTGGTCCAGGACGCCACTCACCGGCAAGGAGGTGAAGTGGTTACTCCTCAGGTTCAGCCTGAGGAGGGTCAGGCTGGAGAAGACGCCCGGGGGCATGGTCTGCAGGAGGTTATTATTGAGAAATAGCAGCTGGAGGTTGGGGACCGGATCAAAGGTCCCAGGCTGAATCTCACGAATGAGATTGTACTGGAGGAAGAGATACTGCAGGCTCTGCAGGCCATAGAACAGCTCTGGGCTCAGCCTCTCGATCCTGTTGCCGTTCAGGTAGAGGCGCCTCAGGTTGGTGAGATCTCCGAAGGCGTGGTCCTGGATCATGGAAATGCGGTTGTTGCCCAAGTGTAGGAGGTCCAGCCCCGTGGCCTCCAGGAAGTCGCTCCTGCGAACCACCGCGATGTAGTTCTCCGTCAGATACATTTTCTTGGGATTGTAGGGCTTGGGCTGCAGCTCTGCGATGCTCTCGATCTTTCGCTCCTGGCAGTTGACATTGAGGCCCAGATCGGAGATTTGCAGGTTGCAGTAGCACTGGGTGGGGCACTCCAAAGGCACGGGAGATTTGGTCTGGTAGGCGATGCTGGGGCCAGAATTGCTGGAGCTCAAGTCTTTGAATGGCTGCCTAGAGGTGGGGCGCACCCTGGGCTTGTTGGGTTGGCGTGTCCCCTTAGGGGTCTTCAAGGGAGGTTTGTAAACAGCAGAGGACGAAGTGGCCACGGAATTCACCGAAGCTGGGGTGGTGTGTAAGTACCCCGTGGTGCTCAAAGGCGTCTGCGGCCTCATCTCGTAGTCTGAAATAAGTTTCCTGGGGCAAAGTTCCTGCTTGGACACTTCGTCCAAGTCCCGCCCATGTAAGCGGAAGGGCGTCTCACAAACCACATCCCCCACCAGGGCCGAGTAGGAGATGCTGTCCAGCCAATCCTTCAGGGAGATCAGCTCACAGGAGCAGTTCCAGGGGTTTTCCTCCAGCTGTAACTCCACAACTTTATCCATGTGCTGCAGCAGCCCCACATAGGGCAGAAGTTTCAGCCGGTTCCCCCGCAGGTCCAAGTGCGTTAAGGGCACAAAACGGAAAAGGTTGTTGGGTAAACTGGACAAGAGATTATCATTGAGGATAAGCACCTGCAACAAATGCAGTTTCCCAAAAGCATTGGGTTCAATGACACTGATGTAATTATAATCGACCTGTAGGTACTCCAGGCTCTCCAAACCAAGGAATATATCATCCCGCAGAAGTTCCAGCTTATTATTGTTCAGATGCAGTCTCCTTAAACCCCTAAGCCCGTGGAAAGCCCCCGTCTCAATGTCCTGGATCACGTTGCTACCCAGATGCAAAATTGAAGCCCCAGTGTAGTTTACAAACTCATTGGGATAGAGACGGTTCAGAAGGTTTCCAGACAACAAGAGGTGGTAGACTGGGAAGCGGGGTGGGCTAATCTCAGAGAGGCTGATGATCCCTCGGTTTTCACAGCTCACAGTTAAAATGCCGTCCTTCTCCTCACAAGGACATGCATTGTCACAGATTTCCCCATAATAATCGATGGTTTCTGCACACGAAAGGACGAGAGATGTTAGAGCAAATGCTAGAGTCTGCAGCATCCAGCTATGCATTTTTCTGTGGAGGTCCTGTTCCAAAGTTACCAGGGGGCAGCAAGGGTGCATTTTACCTCCTGCAAGGGAGAGAGGAGAAAGGAAACAACAGAATATGACAAGAATTTAAGGGATCGCTCAGAGAGTCTCTTTTCCCTGATACTGTTTCTCTGAAATGCAGTAGGAGGGGCTATGAATGACACCCCCTCTCCAACATGGACATTTCCAGACTTTACTAAAATCTGATAATCATTTTGATTTCTATGTTGATTTCATTTCCTAATGAGCACAACAGGAAATGCTGCTCACTACAAGATCAGGGCAGGTTAGATAATGTTCCATTTTTGTGTGCTTCCTATGCCCCCCTCCCTTTTCAAAACCAACCCATAAGGATACATAAAATGGCTGTCAGTTCAGTTTTATGGTTCTAATTTAAGAGGGGAAAAAAAAAAAAAGCGCACCATTTTACAACGTTCCCCACCTCACCTATCCCCAGCCACTCTGCCCTTCTTTCAGAATCTCTTCAGTGAACAGTTCACAGTGAAGCTCTCCCGTTTTCGCAGAAAGGCAGGGAGCCACAAGATGACAAGGTGGGACCTAAAGGATACTTTTCAGAGTCACAAAGGATATAAGACAATGCATCAAAAGGACCCCAAAGAAGCTCTTAAATCTCCAATTGTCTTCAGGGAGCTTCAGGGGAGAAAAAGGAGAGCGTGCTGGCTTTGATGCTGGACTTCGCTACCCAAGCTATTAAGCACATCAGCATCCTAATTGCATGCACGGTGCCACTTAACAGTGCTTCTCAGAGAGCGCCCTGCATCCACTCCTCATTGATCATGTCAGCGACGCTACCAAACCGCATCCCTCAGCCACGGAAATAGTTCCGCACCGTGGATTGCAAAGAGCTCTGCGAAGGCATCCGCAATCCCAGAACACCTTCCCATACCTGGAGTTTAAGGAGGACATTCCAACTGGTTACCCGGAATCAGCTAAAAGTACACCAAGGGCCAGGGCCACCCCCCACCCCCCTTACCTGGGGCTGCACGTCTGATTGCCATGGTATACAAAATTAACCCCATTGATTTAGCAAGATTTGGGCTGAACTACGACAGTGCCAGAAACCCCATTGTGGGAGTTGCTTACTACGTTTAATTGTCAATGCTTTACCCTAGTCCTTCCCCCCACCCCTCCCCTTGGGGAAAGGGCACTTGGGCTGATTAAAGACAAAATAGAAAGGAGGGAAGAACAGCAAGTGACATAGGTCAGTGCTTACATATCCCAGTCTCATTTCCCCAAGGAATCCATCTGATCCCCTCCCCCTAGTCTTTCTTGCTTTCTTTTTGTCCCCTGGCTTAAAGGCTTCCTTCGACTTCCTACTTCGACTCGACAGCAGTACTCACAGGAGAAAGAACATAAATGGAGCGAGTGTGTGAATGTGTGTGAGTGCGTGTTGCGTTGGTGGGAGGGAGGGGAAGCTCGGTGGAAATCCGCTGCCGGGGGAACCAGTGCCTCGCCTTTGGTCACCCTCGCCTTTGCCACGCCACCACCCAAGTCGGGTGTCGAATCGCAACCCAAAACTAGAGCCAAGACATTTCGGAGTCATGGGTTCAAGCACGGAGACCTCGGTTTGGATTCCCGAGCCGGATCCAGCCCATGTTATCCGGAGCCCCCGCATTCACACGCACATGTGAGAGGGCGCCTGCGAATCATTCTCGGGCGGCCACCCAGACGTGCAGGGAAGAACCGGAATCACAGGGCAGAGATACCCGCAAGTACCCCCGACCTCCCAACGCCACCGCGAACACGTCCTGGCTTCAAAGCGGAAAAACACACCCACTAGGAAAGCGAAATGTTTACCTTGAAATTTCGGTTCTCCGCTGGATCAAATCTGCACATCCATTCAGCCCGGCTGCGTCCCCTCCCCCTCCCTCCCCCTCCCTCCCGGTGCTTTCCCGCCCCCATTCGCCTCCCACCCCTTCCGACAGCCCATGGCAAATTGTGTCCAGCCGGTAGGAAACTCGAGCGTCCGCAACTTTAATTCAGTTCTGGTTAGCCAGGGTCGCAGGGCTTCCTCTCACCCCGCTCCCTTCCTCCTCCTGCTCGCCAGCCAAGGAGCCCGACAATTTGAGAAAATAAAAGTTGCATGAGCGGGGAAGGCTGACATTCTGACACGGAAACGCACCTTCGATGTAAATTCGCGGGTGCGCTGCACATTCTCAGCTGATCAGATTTTTTTTTAATTTGGGGGGGGCTGTGTTTGCTTTCCCCCCAAGAATTTAGACCGCGGTTCACCACCCTGCGCATCACCCTTCAGCAGCTCGGAGCCGCGCGGGCTGGTGCCCAGCACCCAGGCCGGCCCCGCCGATCAGGGCACAGCTGTTCCCACAGCGGCCCAGGCACAAGCACCCGGAGTTCCAAGACGCGAGGCTCCCCCTCCCCCACCCCGCCCCAAAGCTAAGGAAGGAGAAGGGGAGGAAGGAGGGGAGGGAGGAGAGGGAGGAAAAAAAGCCACCCCGTCGCCACACACACACACACACACACACACACACACACGAGCCTCTTTTGCAAAGTAAACGGCCGACTTACCCCGTCTCACATCTCCAGGGCCCACTCATTGTAGCCACCCTCTAAAAAAATACCTCTTCGGGGTGTGCGCTGGGTTTCTCCAGCCCAAACGGGGCGAGTTGGCGCCGATCAGAGCCGTGCGCGCGGCTGGAGGAGAGGCGCCCGCACGCCGCCAGCCCGGGGCCGCCGCCGCGGTGGCGACCGCGGTTTTCGGGGCTCCCCGAACGGCTCTCCCGGCCGCTCTCCGCAGTAGTCGGAGCGGGCCGGGGGTGGGGAGGTGGGGGGGTGGGTGGAGGGGGGCGATCGCGAGCAGCGGGCAGGGGAGGGCGGGGGAGGGGGCTGCAGCGGACCGCTGTAGAGGCGCCGCGCGGCAGGGGCGGTGAACAGGGGCCGGGCGGGGCGGGGAGGGAGCCGGGGGAGGAGGGGGGCGCGGAGAAGGCTGCCTGGCCCCGCCGGCACCTTCAACGTGACGGTCAGCCCCGCGCGCCACTCGCACCCGCTCACACTCACGTTCACTCGTGCACTCGCTCCCCATCGCGCCCCAACGCGATCCCGGGGTCCCCCGGATCCCTCCCCGCACACCCCGGGAGGGTACTTACAGTTGCCATCTGCATCGGGGGCAACTTTCTTCCTGCCAGCAGCCGCCGCCGCCGCCGCCCCCTCCGGCCGCCTAGGGCTCCTCGCACCCTCCGGCCAGGGTTCGCGCCGGCCGGCCCTCCCCTCCCCCCTCGGCTCTCCTCCCGAGTGTCTTCACCACATTCCCCCCTGGTCAGTGGCGCACGCTCGGGGACGAGCCGGAGGGAGTGGGGCGCGGGGGTGTGCATGCATCGCCCGCCTTCTTCTTGCAGCGCACGCTGTACATGGTAGTGAGGGGGCGAGTGAAGGTGGCCCCGGCCCTCCGGCGGCTCCCGCGGCGGCTGCGGCTTCCTGCACGGTCCTCGCCCCCGGCGCAGTCCTCCCACCCCCCTGCGTCGAGGCGACCACCGCGCTGGGAAGCCGCCGCCGCTCTCCCCGTGCGGAACCCGCTGCAGCCGCCGCCGCCGCCGCGGTCCCCACTTAGTGTCTGTACGGCTCCCGCATCCTCTTGGCGGTTTCAGCGCCTCCGCTGTGTGCAGGTTATTTTCTATATTTTTTCCTGTCCCTTTCCCAGATGCAGCACACGATCGATCGTCATTATTTGGAACTGTCTATCTCCGACATCCTTTGGGTGGTCTGGTGGGGGGACAGGAGCAGTCGTTGTTCTACGCCTGTGGCGTGTCCCGGCAGCCCGGCGACTCTAAAAAACTCAGAGAAAGTCGCGTCTTCCCTCCCGGGCGCCGAGGCGGTGGCGGCGCGGTCGGCATCGCCGGGGTCTCTGAGGCAGCTGCTCCGGGGCGGGCGCAGGGCCCCGTCCAGGGCGCTTGTTTATTGTCGCGCGGCCGGTGCGAGCCAAGCTGCAGCAGACATGGTGGGCCCTCGGCAAAGCGGGCGCTCCGTGGCCGATAGGTGGCAGCCGAGGGCGGAGGCGTCCCTGGCTGGGCTCGGGCGGCGCAACCGGAGCCCCCCTTGGATGTCACATTTGCAGGAGACAGAGAGGAGTCTTGGACCATGTGCGTAACGCGAACGTGGGACTGTGCAATCCTCGGACTGAAAAAAAGGGAGGAGTGAAAATAACCCCGACAGCGCCAGGCTTGTTGGTGGTCAGTACAGATGGACGCCAGCCCTGTGCCGATCGCCTGCCTTCCCCCTGCCATTTAGAATAACGCAGCCCCTGCTGCTGTCTCATGTACATACTGTAAAGGACCCTGGAAGAGGGAGTGGTTCATCCTAGCTCCAAGCAAGGGCGCTATTTTTTTTTTTTTTTAAGAATTACGTTGTATAGGTATGTCTGGGCGATACAAGGGAATAGCAACTACTTTCAGAGAAAATATTTCTGAACATATTTGGTGTGGGCTAAAAAAGCTGGAAACCCCTAAGTAAATGCAGTATCGATAGAAAGCGAGTTTCTTGAAGAGTCACCTGCTAAACTCCACTAGATTCATCTCTACAGTAAGTATTCCTGGCTCTTTCCATGAAACTAGACACCACCCTCCCCCAAAGGGGGGTCTTTATATCCATAAGGAGTGTATTTCCAATGTTTGTAATATTAAACCTTCAGTCCATCCCAGGCATAGAAAAAAAAAAAGTTGATCATAAGTAGCCCAATGCAAGCTGAGTGCACAAGTGACTGTGCCTTTTCGTAATTGGGTAGTTTTACCACTTAAATATATTTAATCCATTTTACTCTGGAATGAATTATGTCGTATCTTTTGGAATTATCTTAACGCTGATATTGTCTCCTTCTTGGTTGCATTTTGGATAACATTGTGGTTTTGAAATCCTGATTAAATATAGGATTAATCTAGAGTCTGATATATAGAGCCACAAACGTATCTTCTTGCATCCTCTAGAGGTGATGAACATTGCAATCTCCTGAGATTTTCCAATATTCTTGAAATTTCTTCTGACTCTGTTTTGCAAATATTTTTTAGTTAAGCCACACGTACTTTGTTAGAAACAATTTTTGTTTATTTTGTTAAAATTCGGGACATTCGGGAGAGAGAGAAAAGAAGTAATCTATAATATCAGAGAATGAAAATAAAATCTTATAATACAACTTCCTGTTAAATTTAGAAACCTTTGGGCTGGGCATGCTAGCCACTTGCTATAGGTACATTGTATAAACAGGCAATTTAAACTGCACTCACAAAAGTCTTGTTACTAGATTTTTTTGCAATACCTTCTAACATGATTGAAATGTTTTAGAATATTTATTTTTAAAGTATTAAGTCATTTTTATATTTTCAAAATGAAAGTTTTAAAATGTCATCATTTTAAAATTACATATTAATTATAGTTAGACACTTTTGGGATACAAATATTGTTGTATGACAGACATAATTTTCAATGTTGATAAACAATAGAATTTCTGAAAAGGTAAAAATGCCTTAACCAATTATTGGACTTATTTTTAGTTTGTTATTTTATTACTTACCAAAATCTTCAAAGCTGCAATAAAATATCAAATTTTAGTCTAATTTATGGTTTTGTATTTTTATTTTAAATATTTATTATTCTAATTAAAATAAATTTTGTTGCACTAAGAAGTATTAAACATGTTTGCAATTAAATTAGGTTAGAGTTTTGTTAGAAAACTGACAACTGAAACTATTTCAGTTTGCTTCTTGTAGTTCAAATAAATAAATGATGTCAACTTTCTATCATTAAGTCAATATTAAGGACAGCCTGAGAAGCCACTATTACAATTTCCCACTAGGTGTCTCTATAGGCTCCTCTGCAGGAAAGTGAATTTTGAGAAAACACTGTGACATGAAGAGACCACAGAAAAACTTGGGTGTGGGGTGTTGGGGGAACATCATAGAAATAAGGAAAAGCCTCATTTACTAGTCTGTAGACTCCTGTTTTCTTTGAGTATTTACTATTGCCTCGAAATGAAATACATGAATCATGTAACAGTGATAAAATCTGAGGCTTTAACCACAAGAATAATCATTATCTATTTTTCAATCCATACTGAACAATATACAGTCATATGATATGTGTACTTTGTGTACTTGCTTTCATACAATACTCAAATAAATGCACCTGATTACATAAACACATTTGGAAACCATAAAATGAAATGATTGATGAAATATAGCTCTCCAAAATTAAAGTCATTAATACTAAATTAAACATTATTTGATTGAGTTGGATGTGAAAAGCTGAGAATCATTGTCCAAATGTTTGTGCATATATTTATGCATGTTATAATTAGTTCATGATGTAGTGGCATCATAAATGCATTTCATATATGGAAATATATGTGGCTTTAATTAGTGCAAATTGTGGACATAATTTGGTTCCTGCATATTAAAATTTAAATTAAACCACAATTAGCTTCCTTGTCACTTGAAATTGAAATATGTGAACTCATATTTATTATTACCTGGAATTGTTGTTTTAGTGTCTATGGGCTCTTTGGAGGAATTCTTATATTATATGCATTTCTTAAAATATATTACATTTGTGTTACACTGTGTGATTTGTTTAGAATATTAAAATAGTTAAAAATTATAGTTTCTCATGAAACAAACTAACAGATTATAAACAAGGATATTATTTGGCAATAATTTTGAAATTTCATAAGAACTAACCAACATCATTGAAATTTAAATCCAGTAGACCCTGGATTACTTTTTGTTAGTCTAATTGGTGAGATGAGATTATAAAATTTCAATGCTAGATTCCTCACTCCTCTAAAATTAGCTCTATTAGGTTACGTTTATGATAGTAATAGCTAAGAAATCTATAAAATATTTATTAAGTGACAGTTTTTCAGAACTAAATTATGTTTTTATTGTCTTTGACATTGAAATTATATATACCACATATTCATAAATGGAGAAAAGTTTCTTCTGGATGGAAAAACACGAGTCATCATTTATAATTGTTTCTCCATGCAATTGCTAATTTAAATAACCATATAGCATATGTTTTTGATCAGTCTAACACATTTGGAATTATAACAATCAAATATACAATGCAATGATGTTTATTAAATCCAAAATGATCATTATAGACTTAATTAGTTATTTACAGGCTTAGAGTATGTTCTCAGAGGCATAAGAGGAAGATGTGCATAAAATAGTCAATTCTCTTCTTCACTTCATACAGTTCCTTGTAAATACATCCTGATATTCTTCCGCCAGAATTATGTGTTAAAACATTCTCTTTGGAAATATTTACCAAAATTTAAAATGCATAAATCTTTTGAACAATTATATATTCAGAAAGTAGTCTACAGGTGTACTAAAAAATGCACAAAACAATATGTAAGAAGATAGTCATTCTAACAGTGGTTTGCATTTGTAATTGACTAAGAGCACATCTACACCTTGGGATAATCTTCTGTCTTAATAATAATAGTGCATTTCATTTAGTAATATGGTCCTGTTGTTATTAATAGTGTATATAGCATAATATAAAATATGATGGAGAAAGGGGGAGAGGAGAGAGAGAGAGAGAGAGAGAGAGAGAGAGAGAGAGAGAGAGAGAACCTTTTGTGGAAAGATACACAAAATTCAGTTATGGTAGTTACATCTTGAGAAAAGACGGGAGTTTTGAGTAGAATGGAGACTTATTTTTTTCAGCATATATTCTAATTTTTAGTATTTGAAAATTTCAGTTTACATCACAATTTAGTAGAACATTAGCAAGAAAATATATGTATTTGAAAAATAACAATATTTGAAAGAATGACATGAAAGATGATGGAGAGCTGGAGATGGCTTTACCAAATTACTTTCTGTCCCACAATTTTCAAAACTATTGCATTTTTATGACACATTGCTATTAATGGAGACATTGAATATGTTTTTAAATATATAAATATGCATGTGTTAAAATGTTTTTCCTATATAATTCTTATATGTGGCATTTACTTCTAGTTGCCTGTATTAATTATCTGATTGGTAGTTAATATGAGTTGGCTTCCATTATCTTCACTATACAAAACCTTGCTGTGTAGTTAGTATAATTTGATACTCTGGTGGATGAAGGGAAAGAACCAAATGGTTCTCTAGAGAAGACAAGTGATTATACTTGAAATTGTCAGCAGCAGATCTTTACTGCTATCTGCAGGAAAATGAATGACTGTGTAATTGTGACATTTTAAATATACAAACTATCATCAGGCCCCATTAGAACAAAGGCTGCTGCCATCTGGCTTATACTCACATTGAAATATGTACATTCCACTGGAAAAAGGAAGTTTTATTATATCGCTAGATTAACTTTTCTATGTATCTTTCCATTAGAACTGTGATTTGTCTCTTGGGATCTACCTGTTCTTGATTCTTTCATATCTTTAGTCATTTTGGGGAAATCAATTCAAAGAGGCATCATTATACATGTATTTTCTGGTTTTTCAAAGAAAAACAATTATTCTAAAGCATAATTTTATCACAATATTTTCAGAACCATTATGTGTATGAGAATGACTAACTTGACCATACTGTAGTCAACTCCCCCCAAAACAGTAGCTTTTTATTTCCAATCCAGAAATTTACTTCGTTCAACTTTTATCAACTGAAAACCTGTGTTCATTACCTCAAAATAAATCAGCCTTTTTCTTCACCCCAAAACTTTGGTTTATACTGCCCTTTTACCTAGCTAGCTTTTTACTTTTCTCTTAACAATTGTTCTACAGAATTTATCATAAATACTTTCTGCAATCCAAAATTTTTTTTCTATTCACTCTAACCAACATTGAACTTGCTCATCTTAAACATTCTCTTGCATTATCTAGCATTTGATCTAGCAGAGTTTCCTATTCCCTGCTTAAAGTTGTCATTTTATTATTGCCTATTTATCATTCCTTCTTGAGAAGAGAATATTATTGTGTTTGTTACCCCTTAATGGTGAGAAAAATGACCTCCA